TGAAATAGAAATATTTTTAGTGTTTGATAGCTTAGAACTACTGAGGAAAATTTTATTTAAATAGCTTTTATGATCAATGGATTATTTTTTATCTTTTATGGATCTGCATTCTGCCATTGACGATGCTTGTAGTTGCAAGAATTTTTGGAGATGCATCTCCAAATTTTTTCAAAGTTTACCCAGAAATCAAAGATGCATCTCCGTAAGCAGTCTGTTTGCAATGTTTTGTTCTTTTTTGTAACAAACTCATTGTGTAACGCTTGTCTTGTCTATTTATAGAAATTATGGTTAAAAGACCATCCAAATCAGGACACGACAAACTTGAATAATATGCATTTGTCCAGAGGGAAAATAGTCAACAATCACAGACTCATTCTACCTCTAGACCGGTTGATGCAGAGACGTCAGGTTCCAGGGCTCATGTTTTTTCGTCTTCTTCTTCGGCCTCCTGTGGCAAGCAAGGGTCCCCTACTCATGTCTCCCCGCCTTCATCTTCACGTATACGCATGAGTTCACCTATTTAGGTACCTGAGGGAGGAGAGGTGTCACATGTCCAGGCGACACTAGAGGCACCTTATGCATCCCAGGCCCATGTGACTGGGGCATTTTAGTCTTAGGTGGCACCTGATGCATCCCAGTCCCAATCTCAGACGAAACTTGAGGCACTAAGCACTATGAGATTTGCAGGGGGAGTAAATACCACTGCTATATGAGCAACACATATTGCCTCTGGGTCAACTACTCCAGTGTGTGACGAGTAATCACTTACTACATCCTCACTATACATGTTCGTTAAATTTGCAGGAAATATTCTAGGTTGGTCATGTCTAAAAGAAAGGATGGGAAATACAATAATAATTAAAGAAAGATAGAAATGGTACCTTAGTAAACTGTGGAGATGAAGCTAACATAACGTTGCTAACATAAACTTGAGGGGATCATCCAGGAACAAACAAAAATTAGATTGTGAATTAAGGGAAGGAAGGACAAATTCACATGGAAAAATATTGTTGTAGCTCACGGAGGAGTAGATGAAGAACGAAAATGTAAGTTGGGGGAAGACACCACCTTAATATAGCGAGCAAGGAAGGAAGATCTACAACTCCGAATAAAAGGGAGTTCAATAGAGAAAATCAATGAGAAGATCAACCTCAATATCGCAACGACACTTGAGTACACTTGGATACCCTAAACGCTAATGACATGTCCTATCATAGGTGTGATCGGTGGATCTGGAACTGACTGTTTAACGCTGGTTCGCGAAATGTCGCGGTAAGCAAGAGTCGCCACCGTCTTTTATTTTCTCCAATATGGACAGGACAAAAGCACAGCAAAATTCCTTATGAGATAGTTTCTCGGTTCGGGAGGTAGATTTATAGAAAGGGAAGGTGTTAGCACCCTTTCTATCCATGGTTATCCATGGGCTCTTAGATACTTGCTCATTGTGTTTTCAAAAGTGTTTGCTTTTCAAAGTGTGAGTGGTTTTGAAAAAAGTTTCGTTTGAAAATTCAGATCGACTCTTGTATCAGTCCTCAAGAGTGTTTGAAAAATTGTTTTGAAAGCTTTTTGAAAGTGTCGGTGTGAAAAGAGTTTTTTGATTTGTTTTTGAATAGAGCAAGTATCTATGAGTCATCTACCTACCCTAAGGAATTAGGCTGTGTAAATGTCCTTAAAGTAGTGCCATCCCACCATTGAGAGGTAGGTAGCACCACCGTTGGAGGTGTTCGGGTCAATTCGAGGGTTAGGGACATGTGGTCACCAGAGCAACAGTAGGACACCTTAGAAGCTACCCCTATGCCATGTTCATGGACATAAGGACTTACTAAAACGTCCTGTACTCGACGACCACGTTTTGAGGGGCAAGGCAACAGTGAGGCGTACCCTAAGAGTGGTGTGTGAATTTGTGTATTGTTTTCAGTTATGTTTCATCTTGTCATGCTTTTGGTGATCTACGCTTTGATTTTATTTGGGCCATTCATTCTTTCATGCAAAGTTTAGCAGTTAAGGGGTGCGGAAATTAAAGTACAGAAAATAAAGTCCTACGCTATTACAAGGCGCGGGTCTATACATCGCCAAATTAACAAAGACCCGTTTTTGAATAAAATGCGGAAAGTAAATAAAGTCCCTAATTTACTATTACAGAGCTTGGGCAATTACATAATATTTGAAAACGAAAAAAATAAGGACAAACGCGCGAAAATAAATTAGAATCGAATGTGCGAGGGCGTTGGACCCTTTAAAGATTAAATTGAAATGAAAAGTTAATTAATTATTGAATAAGAAAAGAAGTTATTTTTTTTTTATGTTTTTTGTATTTAATGAAATAAAGAAAATTAAAATTGAAAGAAACCCTAATTTTAAGTATTTTTTATTTATTAAAGAAAAAATTAAAGTCCTAACCTAATTTATACTAATTGTTTAATTACATGGGTATTTACAAAATAATTAATAATTAATAATTATGAAAAAAAGGTTATTTATTAAAAAGATAAAAAATGTTAAAAACCTAATTTCTACATATTTTGGTTTATTTAAGAAAAAAACATTAAAATTGAAACCCTAAATTAAACTAAATTGATTATTAAAATTTATTTACAAAAATATTAATGCATTAAATATTAAATAAAACATATTTTTATTTTTATGATTTCTGATTTTTTTGTGTTATGAAAATTATTTTGTGGAATTAATAAGAAAGTAATTAAAAAAAACAATGAAAAGAATAAAAAAGGAAAAACAAAGAAAAATTAAAGTGGGCGAACCATGGGGGTGTCTGGCCCTTTTGGAGGTGTATTGGAAATTCAGGCCCATTAGAAACCAAGGCCTTGTTGACTTTCTGGCGCGTGTGAGGAATGGTTGACTAGCGTTCATGGTGGAGCTGCATGTTCTGGCCTTTGGATTGAGGCCCCTGGACACTTGGCAGGCACAGACGTATGCGTGTATGGTGGATCACTGGGTAGAAACTGCACCTGATCACGTTTCAACAAAAGTTATTGAGAAATATGGGGGACCTGGGAATCGAACCCAGGTCCCAATACCTGCATGCCACTTCATTTGCCAATTGAACCAACGCGTTTATTTGTATGAATAATGGAACGTGATTAATATAATAGAAAAACAAATATTATGCTAGAATAACCAAAAAACGCGCCAAACTTTGAATGGTCCAATCACGCTCCAACAACTCAGCGTCCTCTTCCTTGTTTCTTCGTTTTGCCTGAAAATAACGAATAGATAGCGGGGGTTTTAAACCCCCACTAAATGGCACCTGCAAATAATAGCGAATAGGGCATATGCAAACATAAAAAGGGCGCGAATAGTGGATTAGTTTCGTCTGGATGTCCTGAATCCAATGGTCCTGGTTTGAGTGGCCAATTTTTCCTTATGTGTGAAACCCCAAATCAAAGCTTCAGAAACCCTAATATCCGTTCATGGCAACTTTTGACACGGGCAATATTAATTCAATTAAAGGACACCAATAGCTTCAGAGAGTTCATGTTAGTATAAATCAGCCATTAAAAATCATAAATCATGCATGGAATGTGAAACACGATTATGAAAATTTTCAAGAAAAGTAAGACTCTGTTATACCGATTCCTTGAGTATGGAAGGCTGGCTTTGATTGGAATAGTTTCCTGGATGTGTCAGGAGTGTATTGGAATGGTTTTTTTTGCTTTGAAACGAGCTCTAGCTAGGTTTTCAGTTTTGAGATTTTTGTCAAAAGTTGCAAAGTTGTTCTTGTGTTATGAGCGCAGATTTTTTGTGTCCCTTGGCCTAGGTTTCAGTTGTGCATATATGTGTGAATAGAATTAGGTTAAAAGTCAGCCCAAAATCCATTGTTTTAATGCTTTT